TCTCTTCAGGTGAACTATGCAAGACCAAGAATGATAGCATTAAGCAAACGCTTGAAGAAACACATTGGTATCCGTGTTCCCTTGATATTTCATACCTACTTATTGAGTGTATATGTGGCTGAGACATTGGGGGTTTATGGTTGGCCAAGACATATATCTTACTAGTATGGGACTCAAAAACACTGCGTCTTGGTTTTGTCCCAAAATGATAACCACTTTGATGACTCTTCCCATCATGAAAAAAATATGGAATGTCACCTAGTTTACAGGGGTGTAGCAAGGTCTCTTTGTCTTGTCAATACAAAGCTATATTTCTAAGAAAATTTGACACCTGTATCTCTGTATAGAAAACCAAGTATGGAAGCTGGAATTTGGAAAGGGGAATGATACTAATTGAGAAGCTTGCTTTCAGGGTGGTTTGCTATAGACTCAAAGTGGACGCAGCAATGGAAGCATGGAGCAATTGCCTATCAGCTATAAGAGAGACAGCAGTTGCTGTTTGGAAAAGAGGAAGAGAGGATCAAATAAGATCTACAGATGTGCATCTTACTTTATATATACCTGAAGTGTCTTACATGATGGGGCTTTGTTTGTTTTTAAATGGATATAAAAGCCCTCAGAGTGTAGTAATTTTTAATCTACAGTTTTGGTAAATCAAAAGTTTATTGGATGTACCCTGCCTTGATTTTGTTTAACAAATGTTTTGGGTTTTTGCATCTGTATTTAAGTTTGTGGAGAGTGGGTCCTTCTTATTTATTGCTACAAGATGTGTGCGCATGTGTGTGTATGCATGTATGTATGTATGTATAAGGGTTTCGTCAGCAGTAGAGTAGAGTAGAGAGTCAATTGTGGATACTCCTAGTCATTCCACAGTTTTAGCCTTTTCTTGCATTGATCACCTTGTTCTCTGTCCTTCTGGAGCAGTCTAATCTGTTTGAAATATTTCTCCCCCACCTTTCCCTGTTACTCAACAAACATATTCCTGTAGTTCCTTTATCTGTGACATTTTATATTGATAAAGGTAGACCAGTGATTGGCAACAAAAACTCCTAATCACACCAATTAAGAGGTGTGAATGTCACCTGTTACGGATCTACCAGATTTGCTGCATATGTAAATTGGGAGGTGTGCAGGTGCAGGCATCTATGTTCTGGGGGTTAAAGCTGAAGCACAGCTTTGTTTGGGCTGCCTGTTTAAATAAGTCAGGCTGCAGAGCTGGCCCACTAAAAGAAAGAGCAGATGTCACGGCTGAACTTTCTCAGAAGGAAACTCTTTAGACTGATTTACAGCAGTGAAACTGACCTTCCAAGCAGCGACCCTTTGTCATCAGTCTCTCAGGGAGTGGGGCATGGTGGTTCTCTTGCTGTAAGTACAGAAGCCTTATGTCACAGGATGGAAGAAGGCTATGGTATTACCATTTGAGGACACCATGCTGGAAGTGTGTATAGCAAATTAACAGGGAATGCAGGATTGGGGTTTATTTATTTATTTGGTTTTTCGAGACAGGGTTTCTCTGTGGCTTTGGAGCCTGTCCTGGCACTAGCTCTGTAGACCAGGCTGGCCTCGAACTCACAGAGATCCGCCTGACTCTGCCTCCTGAGTGCTAGGATTAAAGGCGTGCTCCACCTTCGCCTGGCTAGGATTGGGGTTTATAAGCACAAAGTTTCTGTGTGCGTCTCCTGGAAGCTTTACTCCTTCAATAAATTAGTGTTACAGGTGTGTCCTTCAGATCTCCTCTTACGAAATTTTGGTCAGTAAAACACCAAGATGAGAGACCATGCTCCCGAATCACCTATGCTTACTTGATGGGACCCTCCACCACTCTGTGGGCTATCATAAGGGAGTAGAAGACTTGTTTACAGGAGGAATCACAGAGGCTTATGTGATTTGGATTTTAAGTGATTCGGCCAACACTGCTAGGCCAAAACTAACCCCAGCTCCCAGTGTGGGACAGATTTTTTTAAAAAATGGTTTTCTTTAATTGTTCTTCATCAGAATGAGTAGCCTGTTTGAGGAGTTAGTAAGGTTTGGCTTCTTCTCAGACCTAACTACTGTACCAAATATCATTTTTGGTCATCCAGGAAGAAAGTGCTTGGTAAGTGTCTCTTCTATTTTGTAGCAGACTCTACAACAAATAATTTATGTCTGAAAAGCATGATAACTAAGAAGCAAGATGACTCCTTGGAAAAAACACTGCAAGATTCAAAGAGTTGTCGTGCAGTTACTAGCTGATGGGTTTGAGACCAGGGACCAGGGACCAGGGACCCATGCCCACCTTGCTCCCTATACCTAAAAGCCTCTGTGGTAGTCTGCCAGGAACCCAGGCAGCTCTCCAGCATAGGGAAGGAAAGCTAACTTTACCCACCAACTAAAGGAACAGATGCTTAGCAAGTTCTTGACACCTTGTAAAGGCTAAGGAACTGGGAGCCACCATTGTTAGCCTCTGAGGATGGATGCGAGAAGCCTGTATTTAATAACTATAAACAACTGACATCTACCTTCTTCGTTAAATGGCTTGATTCTCGACTTTTAAATTTCAATTTTTAAGTTATAGTTTTCAAAAGCATGAGGTACTTAGTGTAGAAAACTAGGAATATATGCCAGTTTGTAGGTAAACAAACCTTTCTTTAAAAACAATGCAATTATACCTCTTGAAGGTAACTATTATTAACATTTTTTGTTTATGTCTTCAAGGTCTTTAAGTATATATGAATGGAAATATAACAAGTAAGATGGGAATTGATCATGGGAACTGCCTAAAAATGTTCATTTTGTATGTATTTTATTTTAAATTTAAAACATACTATTTTCTTCCACAATCAATTTATGTTAGCTGAATAGTATTTCTTTTGGTGATTTTTCCGTAGTTTAACAAATTTCCTATTTTGTGTTTATTAGGTGTTTCTGATTATTCATAATTTTTCTTAAATCAATGATATGTGGAAAATTTCTCAGTGGTTATGAGCACTGGCTGCTTTTCCAAAGAACCCAGGTTCTACTCTCAGCTCCTATAAGATGGCTCACAATAGGATGCCCTCTTCTAGTCTTTTTGGGCACCAGGCACATGCATGGTACACAAACATATATGTATACAAAACATCCAAACCCATTAAATTACTTAGTTAATTAGAAATTATTTTAAAAAACTATGATGTGAATCTTGGAAATTTTTTTAGATACACTCTTACAAGCAGTATTTTAGGGTAAGTAGGAAATAAAGTTTATTATATTAAAGTATAAGATTATTATATTATATAGTTAGACTATTTCTGTCTTGCCAGCTAACTTCCAAATAACTACTTCTTATTATTATGAAAGCTCAGCCAATAGTTTAGACTTGTTTCTAACTAGCTCTTATAACTTAAATTAACCCACATTTTTATGAATCTGTATTCTACCATGTGACGTTTTTCCTCTATTCCATTTTGTGTTTTCGACTCATTCCACATCTGACTGGCTTCTCTGCCCTTCTTCCAGCATTCTCTCTGGACCAGCTATTAGCCATTTAGTTTTATATTAAGCCAATCAGTGACATATCTTCACACAGCATAAAAGAATATTCCACAACATTTCAAGTCAAGCTCTGTACTGATTTGGCTTCTATTACAACTAAGGAAAACTGCAGCTGTAACTACCTAGTCTTTAACTCCATCATATAAATAGGAAGTATATTGTAAGTCACTTCCACACCTATAGAAGTGACAGATGTCTGGCTGCCTAGACAGTCAACCAAGGTTCCTCTGTAATTTTGGGACTTCCAATCTTCAGCCTACAGACCTAGCATATTTGGGAAACTCTTCTATAAAGCATGAATTTTAAAGGTCTGTCCAGCCTTATCTTGACAAAGTTCTACAGTCTTTTACTTTTGTGTCCTGTTGTCCACTTTCTACTGTGTACTATCAACAGTCAAGATGAGCAATTTCTTGCCCAAATGGTTTGTTTTGCCACACTGAAAAAAAAGTTTGTATGGAGTTTCTTTTGCACTCATCATCTTCTCTTAAGTAAGTTGCTGCTGCCAGGGGCAGATGTGTCTCATTGTTATGAAAATCCTTAGGTTATTATAGCAATTTAAATGCCATATTCTGTAGGTCTTTAAGTGCTTGAAGATCACATATCTCTTTAAAATATATCACTGTGTGACCTTGAAATCATACATAATACGACTATAAGTTTGTTTTAGATGACTAACTACTAACTTGTATTTCTTTATTGTCCTAAATAGCTTGTAATAATAACTTTCAAGGGATAAAGGATTATGTTGTTAAATGAGCTGCATAGATACAATTCCTTAAACAAAAGTAGAAACATACATTCAGTATTAACAAAAATAACTCTAAATTTGTATCAATGTACCAAAATCCATACCAATATAAAATATTGAAGACAAGTGGTTGATTCAACAATTCACCATTTTATTTCATCATTTCTATTTATTTATTTATTTATTTATTTATTTATTTATTTATTAAAGATTTCTGTCTCTTCCCCACCGCTGCCTCCCATTTCCCTCCCCCTCCCCAAATCAAGTCTTTATTTCATCATTTCTATATTTTCCCCTTTTCAGAAAGAGATCCCCGAATCTAATCTTTTCTGTTTAGTCTTTTCTTTATCATGACCAATAACAATTTGTAACCAACCCCTGTAAACAATGACAAATATCTATAACCCACCAAACAACGAATAACCCCCATCCCATCTCTTGTGAATGTGGATGTTGTGTTCTCTACACTGCTTCCTGTTGTCTGGGAGTGCTGGAATCTTTGGGGAACCTTGAGAAAATTAGGATAATGTTCAAGTCCTAGCTAAAATAGTCTGTGAGGCTGGACCATCTCAGACAGCAGCCTTGAAGCTGTTCCAGACACAGAACTCTGAGGAAATTGCAACAGGGGCATTCTGAGAGGCTGAATCACCTTTAGTTTTTTATTAAACCAATCACATTGACATATCTTCAAACAGTGTAAAGGAATATCCTATAATACAATTATATTAGACTTTATGGCTTGAAACAAGATCTATTTTTTTTTTTTTTTTGAAATCTCAGTCTATCAGTCAGGAAGGAGTATGGACACAAGTTAGCTGGTTCCTCAGCAAGGCTCCAAGTATGTGACTTGGGACTACGATCACATCTGAGGCTGAAATAGGAAGCAGCTCCTCCTCACCTAATCCACGCTGTTGGAAAGCCTATTCCGTGCCGCTGTGAGACTCATTTTCTTCCTTGCTCTGGGTGCCTTTGACTTCACATCATAGCTTTTCAGTAAACTGGGTACACGGCGCTCTGACCCAGGCATCCCAGACAAAGCAGTTTGCTTCTATGAAACTAGAAAGAAAAAGGGAAGAAACTCTCCAGCAAGATGGGGCTTAGAATCCATGTAACATAACGGTGCAATCACAGATATCCCATGACATTTGCCCTATCTGTTCCATTAACTCAATACAGCTAGAGGCCACAGTCAATCCCATAATTCTCCAACACACGGCACGAGACAAAGGTGTGAAACGGAGTAACTTTATGGACCAGGCCTGTTTGACCAGCTTTGCTTGCTCACCTCAGAATTACGAGGAAGATGAAAATAAACCATCCTAGGTAAGCCATCCTGTAGGGTTTTCCTGGTAACAGCTGAGCTCCTATCTTACAGACATAGCAGGTGAACAGGGGCAGCTAGGGAATGCCTCAGTTTCCCTCCTGTGTCCTCAGTAATGACACATGCTTTCCCTTCAGCTGCAGCCTCTCAGTTCTCTTGGTGAGTCTCTTACAGAGTTCAGCCAAATAGTCTTCTGCTCATTTTAAACCTTAGAAAGCTCCAGAAAAAGAAAGAAAGAAAGAAAGAAAGAAAGAAAGAAAGAAAGAAAGAAAAGATTCGCATTTCAAGGTCAGTTGTAACCTATTTGGCTAGCTGTGTTAGAATATTTTCTTCTCAGGTGCATTTGTTAAGTAGTCTTTCATTCTGTGATTCTGGGGCTTCTGTGATTTTGTAAGCTTCTCCATTATATTTAAATTGTGAATTTCCCCAAACTTCAATCATCAGCGTTCTCAAAAGTAAAATAAAATTTTAGCTAAATCTTTTCTGGACCCCCTGAGACACCCCCAACCCTTCCATGTTCAAGCTGGTCATCAACATGTTACATTTTCACTTGGCATTCTTTAGCTCAGTACTCACTACTCGGGTCACACCTAACAAAGGTCAACCAGTGTCAAAAATCTATTCTCTGCATCTCTTCATCCTACCTCGCATCCTGTAACCATCCCTGGCCTGCAGACCAACAGTAACCTCTCTCACGCTGGCTTTTTGCTGATGAACCAGCTTCTGTGTAGAAGCTGTTTCCGTATAGGTCTTTCCTTCCACTGACCTCCAAACAGGAGCTTTTCCTACTTCCTTCTTGATGGGAATGTCTGCAGCTGGCTGACTGTGGGATTTCTTTTTAAGAGGGCAGTTATAATTGAGGCTAGAGTCTCTAATTAGGGAGGCGATTATAAAGGCGCGCTGACCTTGTGAAGCCTGGAATCTGTATTCCCAGCTATCTGCGTGCTCTCCCAAATCCAAGGGAACCAGTCTTCTCTTATCAGGATAGTGTGCAAAGGGGACGGTTCCGGGATGCTCTGATTAGGGGAAGAACCGGACTCCTGTGAGCTGGCAAGTACAGCTCTTTCCTGGGTTTTACGGAAAGGTATAAACCAAACAGCAGCAAGCAAGACGGCGAAGGAGCCTGTTTTCCCATGGGAGTAGTGCATGACAGCTAGACCTAGACTATCGCAAAGCTGGAGTCTGCACAGTCCGTGGGTCCTTTCCGCAGAAGTACAGGTTGGGGGTGGCAAAAAGAGGCACCAGCTTCTTGGCACTTGGCTCTCCATAAGCCAAGCTGGGGACCACAGGCTCTCTCTTGTCATTTTGTGTGTAGTTAGAAAGCCTGATGAGAGGTCTCCTGCTTGCTCGCAGCCTGCTGTTGTCCTAAAAATGCAAACCACCGCCTCGGGCCATGGAATCGGGAACAGGCAAAGGAAAGAGGCTGGGCTGCGCCCCCCACTGCTTGTCCTCACTTCTGTGCTGGCAACTTTTACCAGGAAAGCTGGGCTTTACCCTTGTTCTTAAGGACACAGTGGGGAAAAAAAGAGATTAAAACAATAATGTTCCAGGGGCTGGTAGTTTTAATCCTGAAGTTTTATTTGGAGCAGATATTAAAGATGGGGAGGATGAATTCCCACTTTATCCTCATGCAAAATAAATTTTGAAAAAGCTACAGTTTAAACCCCTCCCCATTTCCTGCCTCCTTCCCTAGGTAGAATAAGCAGGTTTATCTGAGTCACCCTTGGCAAGTCTTTTTGTAACAAAGACTCAGTGACATTCTGTGGGCCAGGCCAGCTAGGGAGAGCAGGGGTTTTCTTGGATGCGAACCTTGGCTCACTTTGGAAAGAGGAAACCTCCCTGGTTATGGTAAACTTATAACATCCATAAACATTCTTGAGAAACACAGACTGGGCTTGTGTTGGGCATTCTTAAAGCAGTTTTCTTTTATTTCCTTTCCCCTTTCCTTTCCTTTCCTTTCCTTTCCTTTCCTTTCCTTTCCTTTCCTTTCCTTTCCTTTCCTTTCCTTTCCTTTCCTTTCCTTTCCTTTCCTTTCCTTTTTTCCTGATTTTTTTTTGAGACAAGATTTCTCTGTGTAGCTTTGGAGCCTGTCCTGGAACTCACTCTGTAAACCAGGCTGGCCTCGAACTCATGTAAATCCGCCTGCCTCTGCCTCCTGAGTGCTTGGATTAAAGGTTTGTGCCACCACTGCCCCTCCAGTTTTCCTTTTTTTTTTTTTTTTTAAATGTTGCCTTTTATTGACCCCAATCAGCTTGCTAATCATAAGTCTGAGAAGACTTCCTGGACTCCTAAGGAGTTTTGAATTATGATCTGCCCCCCCCCATTCCTTTTGAAGGTCTGTGTTACCCAATGCACACATTTTAGAAGCTTTTTTTTTCCTCCCTTAAGTTAATTTCCTTGGAGGCAAACCCATGAAGTGGGGAAAAATGCACATTTCCTTGTGTTTTTATGCATCTATTATTTCTGTGGAATTCTTGACAGACAACAAAGAATTTTTTTTTTAAGCTGTGGATTTTCTGCTGTCAAGGAAACAAGCTGTTCTTTCCAATCCAGGCTCCTGGGATGAGCATGGGAGAAACTTTATTAAAAATTGATGAATCTATTCAACCTCTCACAGAACTCACCTGGAGCCCTTTCTCAGAACACCACAAGGGGCACAGGACTTCATAAGGCTGTGGCTGAGTCCCTGCTGTGACGACTGCTCCTGGCTTAAGGAAGACTTGAGAGAGAACTGGGAACTGTGACCATTGCCATCGCTGGGAGAATAAGAGAAAGATCTCTGTAGCAGTGAAGCAGAATTTTTGACCACCCATTACAGATCCACAGTCAATGACCCATACACAAAGACAGACCGAGAAAAAAAATATATATATACTTGCTGAGTAGGCTGACTATGTCAGAAGAGCCCTGAGAGGGAGACTCCAAGACCCAGAGAAAACTATTTCTGTGCTTTGGTCAGTGCAGAATGGACAGCCTATGCAGCTACAAATGACAGGGTTAGAGGGCCCTAAGTCTCTTCAACCTGACTATGTAAACTTTGCTCTCTCTTCCTTTGCACCCTAGACTGGGATCTCTCTGGTAAGAGTCTTGCGACCTCCTTGTCAAGGAGGTAGGTCAGAGAGGTGTTTCTGGGTTTTATGGCTTGCTATGGGGAGTTCTAATTCCCAACCTGTCCTGGGATGTGAAGGAAAGACAAAAGAGGGTAGGAGAATGTTGGAGAAGACTTCTTGCTCCCAAGCCTTGTCTTCAGTTCCAAGTATCTCCCACACCAAAGGACAGGACTTAGTGTCTCATTTTATATCCCAGTACTTTGCCCTTCATTGCGTGCTGAAGACGTAGACAAATGGGGAAGAATGAGCGTGAGGTGGAGACATAGCGGAGTTCCCAGTAGCCAATCTGCTGCCCAGGTAGGGTTTTAAATTCACGATAGACAGTTTGTAACTTCTCTCTGTGCTTCTTTGTCTGTCTTGGGTATCTTTTCTCTATTCTTGGTATGTAATTGCCAACCAAGTTCCTTAAAAATCCCATTTTCCAGAAGAATTCAGCAGGTGGTCTTGTCTCTCTCATGACTGTGCCTTCTCTTTGGCAATTGAGAGAGTTTCTAGCCAGGCCCCATTCAGACCTCGGCAAAAGTGGACAAACAGGAATTGCGGGGAAGAGTTTTCAGGCATTCTTGGGATTGAGCCTTCATACTCATCTGAAGTAACGGCTCCTATCCTTTTTCAGTGGGAAGCAAAACAATCCAGCCAGTGGAGTGTTTATTCTTCCCTCTCGGTCATTTTACTCCTCCACACTCCCAGACACTTGGCCGGCATCCTGAGAACACATACAGATGGACAGGCCTCTCCTCTATTTTTGTGAGGACCGAGTACCAGCAGATAAGCTGTGACAAGGACCAAAAATGGCAAGTCTAGAAAGAACTGTATTCCTCCCTAGAATAAAAGCGAAGGGGTCTGTTGTTTAGAGAAGGAAACAATATTCATGGTTTAGGAAATATTTATTGTTTAGGAAAGCTATGTAAATGATTAGCTAAGGACCTGGCTTTAGGTATCCTACCCAGCTGGGTAGAATTAGCCTCACTCTATCCTGGTTAAGGACATGGGGGCAAATTATGTAACCTGTCTGAACTGTAGGTCCCTCCTCTCAAAACAAGCTTGTTTACAGTGTTTCTATGGAAATCAAACGAGAGGATGTGTGACTTACGGAGCCAAGTCGACTGGAAACTGTGTGTGGCCACATGTGACAGCTCAAGGTGGAGAACGTGACAACCGACTCTTGACTTTTCACCCCCGGAATTGCACTGTGGGATACATGTCCTCTTGCAAAGAAGGGAATGAACAGGATCCAATATAATTTGACTGATATTTTACAGAGCAGCTTCCTCTCCATTGAAGTCTCTGTAACTACTTGGATAGATACTGTTGTCTGAGAGAAAATAGCAGCCCGAGGAGGTGAAAGAACTCCTTCTTAGACACACTTCCAGCTAGACCGACTTCCTGATTCCTGTCTGAGACTTCCTTGAGATCATTCTGTCTCTTATGTTTGTCTAGCACTTACAGTGTACTTACTAGGCACTGCTCCAGAAACTTCAAACATGTTAATTCACTTCCTTCTGACATCATCTCCTCGAAGCAGATAACCGAATCACCCTCAGAAGGAGGGAAATGGGGCATAGAGAAGGTAAGTAGCTTGGTGACATTTTCACAGCAGAGCTGGATTCTGTCCTTGGTGGGCTATCTGGGAGTCCATTGGATGGACTACTACTGATGACACCCCACCAATGGGATCCTGTATCTCCTGGTGTGTGTTGCGTGTCTACCGTCATATTCCAAGTTGAATAAGAATTAGCATGCTATGGTTAGGCTCTTCCTCATAGACATTTATAACTCGAGTGCTGGGGTGTTCTGCTGTGGTGAGCTTCCATGCTCTCTTTGCTGAGGGGCAGTGTGATGGAGGGGTTGCAATATACAGGTGCTAACAGGTGTAGATCTTGGAATTTGGAATTAGTCAACCTGGGGTGGAGACCTGCTTCTCTAAACCCCCTAGTGAGTCTTTGAAACTGTTTTGGATGTTAGCTACAACATTTGCAAAAGCATCTACCTAATATGAATACTTCTCCCACATGTTTCTAGCATTGTTTAAAAATAAGGTAAAGCAATTAGCAAATTTGCGATTGTACTTTCAAGGATGTAGAAATCAAAATCATTAAAGAACCGTGAGTATTTTTAATCCGGAAGAACATCCTAATGTGTTTTGTGGGCTAGAGTAGTTTGTGGAATAATCTCCTTTTGTAACTAACAGACTACGTATCTACAGACTAACCTTCTGACACAGGTTGGCTTTTTAGCCCATTGAGTTAGCTACATCTCCACATACACAGTGTTTTAAGTGATTATCACACCATTCAAGTCTCAGGTGAGAATTTGTGCCCTTAGATCTCATGAGCTTTAAACCTTTATTCAAAGAACAAAGACAACGACATATTTTCTGCTTCTGGCACTCGCTAGATTTTATGTAGACTCTGTCCTGCTTTCCGGGTTAGGGAATAGAGTAGTTTTTCAGTTCAAACTATGATAAGCATCTCTTCATCTAATTTCTTCCCACCCTATACTGTTTTTTGGAAAGACCAAGTGCCTTGGGAGTTTGTTTGATCTTAAACTACATATCGCTTTACAGAGGAAGGAACTAGAATGTTTGGCCTTGCTCTGCTGCTCTCGCTGCTGTACTATGAGGAGGGGGCCAAGACCCTCTGTGAAGACTGTTTTAGCCCTGATCAGTTTCTCCGCAAATTTCCGGAGATGAGAAGGGGCCAAGTTATCTAGTGTTCTCTACGCCTAAGGTGCCCCAAGCCTACAGAATCAGAGAGGCCTAAGCAAGCATCTTTCTCAGTTCATGAACTTGCATCCTTCCTTTGAGCACACAGTAGGTCTAGAGTAGGGAGGGAATTAGCTTTCAGTTTCCTGACCTGTGGCCTGTCTTCTTCTGCATCATCTCAGACCCCATGGGGTTTCCTTCTAGTGGCTTTCATTCTAGGAGGCTTTGCCTCTTTATTTCAGGAAAACTTTTTTTTCTTCTTATTTTTTACTTTTTTCCTTTAGTTTACATACCAACCATAGTTTTCCGTTCTCTTCTGCTCCCATACCCTCCCCCACCTTCCTTCTATCCCCCATCTATCCCATCCATTCCTCTTCCATTGTAGTTAGGAGCGGCAGGCTGCTTCCCGCCACTCTTTACCCGAAATAATTACACGAAAACTGTATTCTTTTAAACACTGCTTGGCCCATTAGTTTCAGCCTCTTATTGGTTAGCTTTTACATATTGATCTAACCCATTTCTAATAATCTGTGTAGCCCACGAGGTGGCTTACCAGGGAAGATCTTAACCTGTGTCTGTGTCGGGTGGGAGAATCATGGCGACTCCTGACTCTTTCTCCTAGCATTCTGTTCTGTTTACTCTGCCTATCTAAATTCTACCCTATCAGAGGGGCAAGCAGTTTCTTTATTAATTAACCAATGAAAGCAACAGATACACAGATGCCCCACCTCCATCATTCCATCTCCATTCAGAAAGGGGCAAGCCTCCCATGGGAGTCAACACAGCATGACACCTCAAGTTGAGGTAGGAACACAGCTCCTACCCCTGCATCAAGGTTGAGCAAGGCAACCCGGCTTGGGGAACCCCACAAAAAGACCTAGCTACATAACTGTTACACACATGCAGAAGACCTGGGCCTATCCCATGCAGGCTCCCTAGATGTCAGTCCAGGGTCCATGGGTTCCCACAGGCTCAGATCAACCATCTCTGTGGGTTCCTCTGTTGGATATAGCTTACTCTAGGCTCAGACTATTGCCCATCACAGCAGCAATCTCTACTTTTGTAAACAAAGTTAGTTGGCTCATGGTTGTGTTCATTGGCTTATGCACATGGCCTGATAAACCTAAAATATCACATTATCAGAAAGAGCTCATCCAAATATCTGGGACTCTTTAAAATGCCACAGTGACAGTGGAAATCAGACAGAATGTTCCTGCTCCTTTTCCGTGCTGCTGAAAGATAGAGACCAGGTAAGTGAGGGATATATGTTAAATTCACAAGGGAACAGTGGCTCCCTCATAAAAAGAAGCTACACTCCAGCTTCTTGAAACCAGCAAAAACAAGTCTTTTGTATTCTTTCCCTTGCTATGAATTTCCCCCCTCAGAACAAAGAAGATGTGCTCCAAGTTGGCTTGGTGTCTTCAATCCCAGAAATAGATATAGGTAGCCAATTTTAAAGAGAAAAGAATTCTGATTTACTGGTTTCCTTCCATGTGTTCCCCAGGACTGAAGGTACATTATAGGGTACATCCCATCAAAGGGCTCCCAAAATATCCAGCCATCCTGCTAAAGCTGGCCAGCGACCTGCAGACCTTCAGAAAACTGAGGGACATAAAATGAGTTTCTCTCGAAAGATTCCGCGATCTTTATCTTGGAAAACACTAGGAAGGTAAGGGCAAGTTTTAAACACTGTGAGAGTTGGCTTGACCCAGCTGATGGAAAAGGAGAATATTCACAGTGTAACTTGGCTTTTCCTCTCCCCCTTCAAGAGCCTTGTTGTACAACAGCCTGAGCTAAACACGCTGTGTCAATCTCATCTTTTACATTTCCCGGGTGTTTTCTTCTTAGATCATGCAACAACCCTGTCATTATTTTAAATATTTCTGCCTGTAAATTGCAGAATACTTGATCTGATTTTAATAGGACCCATGTGTGAAATCCTTTACTTTTTTTTTTTTAAATTCATCGTTCTGATTCTTTCTGCTCTTCAGTACAGCACAGCTTGGTAGCACTAGGTACGTCTTGTTGAAAGTATGTCCATAAATATGTCCCTTGCAGCATGGAACAGCTTGTTAAATTGGCAGTCCTCAGCAGTTTGCCTAGAAAAGTTTGCCTCACTTGTGATAGTCCAAATGTAGGGCAGAACACAGCGTAACTTTTTTTATCTAATTTTACCAATTGACATATTCTTCAAATTTTTTAACTACCTCGTGCCTTTCTCTCACAGTGCCACCGCTTGACTGGAAAAAGTGGCTGAGCGCTCTCCCAAGGGCTGTGTGTGGATAGGGAAATCACCTGGGTTCTCAGCAGATCGCAACCTGGGGACAATGCAGTCACTTAAGCAGAACCTCCAAGCTGTTGTGGAAACAGGGTTCAGATAGGGCTGACACCACCGACTCTGTCCCTGAGGTGTGGTGGTGCTGTTTTCCACTGTGGCAAGGGTGGGACTCATCATTTTTAGTCAAATATCACGGATTTCTTTATTGATTATGGGCGGTATTCTTCATGATGCTCTGTTACTGATGCGGATATCTTTACATCCTCTGATTTTCATATCTCTCCATGAGGATCCTATTGGACTCAGGAATGGCTTGTCTAGAAGGACCCTTGACCCCGAATTTAATGTCATAGGATGAGCTTTCAAGGTCACAGATGTTAGTCATCACCTCCAAGAGGAGGCACTGTTTTCTCCCCCGTAATATTTGAAGCACCCAGAGCTACCACCCTCATCTTCGATCCTTGAGACACCAGAGAGGGCTCCCTGCCATCTTATCATCATGCGGTTCAAAATTTGTCAAGTGCCATCCTAGGGGAAAACCACACAAGAAAACAAAAAGGAACAGCACACGCCCGAACATTGATTCTGTCCTGTGGGGGCACAGTGCGACACAGAGACTGTGCTCTGAGTTCCTGTCTTGGTGTCCACACTTTCCAGATGGTTCTATGTGCTTTAGGGTAAGTGGCCTGAAGAAAATGAATTCATTTTCCATGCTTAGTTCCTGTCTACAAATTTTACCACCCAGTAGGGAATTTGCCAGCCTCTGAAGAATCTGTTAGAAAACACTATTTTAGGAGCAATTTGTGAAGAAAGCCTTCTTGGAATTATTGAAATGCAAAGTGGACTGCCTAGAAATGACACCCAAACTTCTACTCCTTTGCTGAACACAAGGTACTGCTCAAACTCCAGGTGAGTGAGGACCGTCACATTGAAACCATTTTAGTTCAGCTTAAGTTAGATGGTGTGAGACATACAGGAACCTTTGATATTTAAGAGTTCGGGCATTATTCCACAGCTCCCTTCAAACTGGCAGAATTTGGGGCAGTAGGGGTCTGAGTCTCACCTACCTGCAGGATCACTTTGCATACTCTGCCACAAATGTGCATTTGGGATCTACTTTTAATTTACTGACGGAGTCATGAAACTTGGATGATTTTTTTTTGTTTTTATTGAGCTATACATTTTTCTCCAATCCCCTCCCTCCCTCACCTCTCCCTTCTGCTTTCTCCTGTGAACCCCATTGCTCCCAGTTTACTCAGATCATGACTTTTTCGCCTTCCTATGTAGAACCATGTATGTCTCTCTTAGGGTCCTCTTTGTTGTCTAGAAACTTGGATGCTTCTAATCCATATTGCCCCATCAAATTTACTGTGTGCCATAAGTTTTTGTGGTGTTAATACAAATAATAAACAAAAATAAAGTGAAATTTTAAAATTAATTATAGTACTTAAAAATTAAATGTTCTTCATACTTTATTTTAAGTTAAAACTGTGACAAGGACACTCTGAATGGTGGAACTATCATTGACTATTGAAAGAGAAAATTCTCTTGGCTGACAACTTAAAGAATATAATATATATATGTATATATATATTACTCAAATAATATATTACAAGTTTGGAGAAGTCCTAAAGCATATTTGAAATAGCCATCCTGGATCACTTTACCTTTTTTTAAAAATTAAAAATGTAATTATTACCAAAAGCTGGACTTGTATGAAAATGTTTACAGATGTCTTAGGAAGAAAACAGCAGAATGTGGAACTAATTGTGTTGATTCAAGATAATTATGAAACACAAATGACCATTACTTCTAACAAGCCTCTTGACAATTAGAATTTGACTGTGGCGATCAGGCTCAAACGAAGTTAAGAAGAGAACAAAAGAATAGTGCAATGTTTGCGGGATAATAATCACACCCCTGCCCCTCCAAGTTGGTTCACATCATGGAGCTTCTCAGAGTTTCATTTCCTGAGTGTTTGAGTGATTTTTACAGCAGAAATGACACACTGATCTGTGAATAGCCTTCATTTCTTTCCATACTAGATTGTCAGTGAGATTTTCATGCAAGGACTGGAAGTCGATCCCCCACGGGACTTCTAGATGCTCTCCCATGGGACTTCTAGATGCTACAGACGTCCTGCTATCACAGACACAAACAACCCTAATGCCATTCCAATCCCTGTTGGGTTATTTGCAACCTGCCCCCAGCTTACATGGCTGTGTATTATGTTTTGGTAGCGTTCTGTTTAGCCCCAAAGTGGGACTGGGAGCATAGAAGGGACCATAACCTTCAGAAGCGCTCGAGAGCCAGATTTTTGAGAGTTCTATAGAATAAGAAGAAAGACTCTTCCATCTTTGTAGGAAAATAATCAGGTGTTATTTCATATTCATAACTAACTGAAATTGGTTGTGAATCAGCTGTTATGTAAGTCATATACCAGCACAAACTAGTAGAAAAATAATGCAGCCACGAAAATGATCTAATTGGACACTTCATAAAAAAAGTAAAAAAAAAAAACAGGTAACAACTTAATTATATATATAATTGTCTATCTATCTATCTATCATCTATCTATCTATCTATCTATCTATCTATCTATCTATCTATCTATCTATCTATCTATCATCTATCTATCTAATCTTTTAGTCAATATTTCCATCAAGCCATTTGAACATGACAAACATAAAATGTTGTTGAGACATTCTTCTTGTATTAGGTCTGCATGTTTAATTTTGAGTTAGTCACATTTCCTATACTCAGTAGCTCCCTGTGGTTAGTGCCTACCATATTGATCAATATAGCCCATGTCTATCATCCATATGTAGAGTTTCTAAGAGGAGATATCCCCAAGGCTGAATATTTTTCCAAAGCAACGGAGGCATGTTGTCATGTTGTTGTGCTCTGAGCGGGTGCCGCTGCTCCTGCATGCGGGCGAATGGCTCCAAGTAGGAGCCAGCGGGAAGCCGCACCCTGCCCACAAATGTGAAAGACGCCTCGGGATTTGCCTGGGTTGTAGATTCTAGAATTGTCCAAAGCAGCTTTTATTTGTTTACTCGCTACATTTATCAGGTTGTCATGTCAGACACTCGCGTTTGTACGGCTCTGCCTCTGCAGCGCTGTGTGACTGAAAGGTACCTTACGTAAACTTCAGTCAACTTTGTTGGGGGCTGCCTCACCTTAGTGGGTGCTTGTGTCTCCTCTGCCACAGACGGTGAGGCAGTGCACTTGTCGCCTCTGGCTCGCACTGCTGTTTGGTTATGTGCAGACACACGAAGGAGCAAGGACACATGTCAAGGAATGCCATGAGAAGTCTGAGTTTCCCAGGAAAAAGCTGAATAATGAGCTTGCTTTTCAAATTCAGAGTTTGTCATATTAATTTCTCATTTTAAAAGAAATTTCAGCTTCCTTGTAGAATTTTATATTGTATCTTGATTTCAAATGAGAAAATTATTAGTCACACTTCTTAATTTGTTGGATGACATCATTGATCATCATAGTCTTTGCTCTTGACTAAATGTCTGGTTCACTTATATGTCATATGTTTCTCTCTCTCTCTCTCTCTCTCTCTCTCTCTCTCTCTCTCTCTCTCTCCTGTTTTCCTGCTCCGGTTCTGAAAGCTGCAGAAATCCAGCTCCTCCTGCCTTCTGACTCTGCTATTCTCAGTCTCAAGGCTGTGGCAACATCTGTGGTCCTCAGAGCTCATGCCCTGGTCCTGCCCTTCAAATTCACACGCCAGTTTATTCCCAGTGAAGGGTGGCGGATGGGGTGAAAGATAGTCTGAATCTAAACCTCCACAGGGATAACAGATCATGTAGTGAGTAATAATTAGATGAGCTATCAGCTCTGTCCGCATAGACGGGAAAGAAGGGTCCAATACACAAGCCAGAGATGGGAAGACTTTGCCAACCTCATTAAATATGAAGGACCCAAAATACTAGATTGTGCCAAATGTATAGACATCAGAGGAAGACTGTCAAGAGAACATTGCTGAACACTCTGCTCATACACTCTACGGTGAGGACAAGTAGGCCGAGGGTGTGGCTAGTTGTTCCTGGACCAGAAGCTTCTAGCCCCTCTATGCTTCTCTGGCCCAGGCAGCTTCAGCTGGGCAGCGTCTGTGTTGGGAGAAGAGCTTCTCCCTAGGTTTGATCCATGGTCTGGTGGATTCCCATGAAATGTGGTTTTCCAGGCTTCTCTCGAGGGGGTGCAACGTAGGAGCAGAGGAAAGAGCAGGGTGATCTTACGACTTCCTGGGCCACTGCCTTAACTACAGCACTGACCACCTGGTTCCACGTAGGGCCAGAAGGGGACTTGAGAATCATGTTTAAAAACTGTTTTCTTATGCCATGGCAAGTTAAGGAATACTAGCTACTTTCTGCTTCTAATGCTTGGGAAGTTCCGCGCAGGCGCTTCTGACTCAGGGCATATACAGAAATGAAAAGAAGTTGTGTAACAAACTGTTTTAGTAGCTGTGTGGCTTCATTGCTGGTATCAATAAAATGTTTTAGAGGAAAGGAATACATCTTTAAAACAAGGAATAGTTTTTTTTTTCTAGCTTCTGGGTCCTGACATACAGTCTAGAGACCTACGATAGAACCAAACATGACTGGGAAAATAAAATTAACATTAATGAAATGATTCCTAATGATATTCTGCTATACTTGCAGATTGGTACCTAGTTGTCATCTGGGAGGTTTCACCCAGCAACTGATGGAAACAGATGCAGAGACCCACAGCCAAACATGAGGTGGATCTTAAGGATCTTGTAGAAGAGGGAGAGGAAGGATTATGGGAGCCAGATGGGCCAACGACACCACAGGAAAACCAACAGAATAACTTGGCTTCATAGAGGCTCACCGAGACTGAAACACCAACCAGGGAGCCTGCTTGGGGACTGTATGTGTGTTACTGTTGTGTAGTCTATACTTCTGAGACCCCTAGTAGTGGGCACAGGGGCTGTTTTCGACTCTGTTGCCTGCTTTTGGGACCCTTTCCTCCTACTGGGTTGCCTCATCCAGCCTCAGTAGCAAAGGAGGTTCTTAATCTTACTGCAAATAGACTATCATGGCTGGCTGATATACATGGGAGGCCTGCTCTTTTCTAAAGAGAAAGAAAGACGAGTGGACTGGGGGTGGGGAGCGGAGATTGGCGGGAGGGACTGGGAGGAGAGGAGGGACAGAGGGAAATGTGATATGGTTGGGGAAAATTTAATTAATTAAAAAATTTAAAAATAATAGATTTTATTCTTTGAAATTTTCATGCATTTATATAATATGTTTAACATATCCAGAGGCTGCTCTTCTTAAAGAACTACTCCAGGAGGTATTTCGGGAAAATAATTTAGAGAATATTCTGAGCTATGTATACTAAAAATCACGGAATGAGGTGAGAGGTCTATATTTCAGCTGAGTGATCCAATGAGCAAACCAGTTGGTTTAAAGGACTCCTTTATAAAACTTCCTCCCCTCCTCAACTTGCCTGGTTTCCTTGCTGTCACTGATGTTTGGTGTGATATTCTAAGGCAATCATGGTTTATAAAGAGTCATCTTGTTGAGAGTTTAAAGGAAAGATGTTCATTTCTTGCTCCTGTGATTGTTGTGTGTGTGTATGTATACACACACATATATGTATATATACTCATTTTTCCATTTTTAACTGTTTTCCAATTACAAAATAAGTAATATCTGCTTCAAGCATTGGTGGTTTAAAATTAAACGAGGCTCAAATGTCAGGATCCGTTCGTTTATAATTGAACTGGTGGGGAAAGGGAAGCAGAGACAGTAGATTGTCCTGAGAGAGGGTGTGCTCCCTGTCACAGGGCCACCACCAAGGATGATTTATGATTCCCCCCCCCCAATGTTTCACTTCCCTGTCCTATCACAGACTGTCACCCACAAAGGACACATTCTTGGGAAGGAATGACAAAGTCTGACTTTGGGTAGCTGTCTTCTTTGGGTAGCTGTCTTTCCCCCCCCTTTCACTTAAATTTCAGTGTTTACTGCTTAGCAGTCTTCAGTTTGACACTCAGCAGACAGAAACTGGATTCTTGTGAGGATTAAGGGATTATTCACTCACCAGCTTAATCAGATTAATCATAGATTTTGAACAAGATATCTAATGCCATTTGCAGGATGGGACGTGTGACCCCTTCTTGCTAGTTGACTTTGGCTTGAGCACAAAGACTCGTACATGTGCACACAGAAGCGCCCGTGTACACACAGATGTACAAACATATGTACATAGGATCGTAGGTACAAAATCATGGTCTTACAAATTTTACCATCACTTAAAGAAACAATTTAAATTTTGTAATTATGATTAGTTTCTACTTCCTATTTTACCTAAGGCCAGAAAGACAGAGATTACATGCCTGTATATTGTTTGATGCTATTTGGACTCGTTAAAGGTTATTTAAATTTACTTTTGGAGATGGCCTTTTTTTGGCAAGTCATTTAAAAATCATTTTAAAAAGAAATCTGTAAGGAGGTATAATTATTTCCATATTCACATTCCTATCATGCAGACTTTAAAATTTGAATATTACTAATTGAAATTATGGTACCAAAAGAAATATCCAGAAAGTAGATGATTATTATTTCAATTATTGCTCTTTCATTCCTATTAGGAGCTTAAGCCCCAGTCTACATTTATTTAATAAGCTCCTTTTCCCCTTGCAGAAACAGGAGGCAGCAAAAACCCTTTGTACTGCAGAGGTATTAAATGAGGATTGGGACCAACTGGCCCATTGTATGAACTCTTATTTTAAAGTAGTCCAAGTTAAGCAGATTTTGTTGGATTTACTTTTATTTGGGTCTTATGTTATTTACGAGATAAACATCGTAATATTGGAAATATTCTTAAAGACAGAAAGGAGAAAATTAAAGAGTGAACCCTGTTTGTCCACACCATTATTCTGAGACATTGGAGCCAAGAACCCCTGAGGCCCCCAGGAGCAGAACTGAGATCTGTCTCCAGATTGGCTGCGTGGTTCGGCATTCCACAGATTTTTATGGCTTGCTTTCCAGCTGGAATCAAACTTGTTTCTGGCATTACACATTTATTATACAATCTTTACTAATCTGTTTATAATGCTCATTAATGTTTGTCTGGTGTTGAGTTTTTAAAAATTAAACCTCTCTCTGTATGAGAGGGGAGGAAGAGAAGGAGGGAGAGAAGAGAAGGATGAAAAGAGGAAGAGAGAGAGGAAGAGAGAGAGAGAGAGAGAGGCATGTCCATGTGTCTGAGTGTTGGACAGCCTTGGATATTGCTTGGTCTTCATTGTCTATCTCCAGACAGAATCTCCTGGTGCATGTGCCAGGTTGCCTTGACCATGAGCTTCTGAGAGTCTCCTGTCCCTGCTTCATATCTGCCCCAGGAATGACAGAATGAAAGAAGTGTGTTAGCACATTTGGCTCCACATGACTCTGAGAGACGGAACTCAGGACTTCACACTCTGTGGTCAGAGCTTTGTGCACACCTAACCATCTCCACATCTTTAGACACTGACTTTAGTGTAAGGTAAATAATGTTTAAGCTGGATACTGTTAACACTGATAATGTTTAGGCTGGATAGATGTTTATAGTTTTCAAGTCCTTTTGCAGAACTATGAACTTCAAAGGTATTCTAATGTGCATTTCACCATTGGGAAGACAAGCAGAAAGAACAGTGCTTTACCCAAAGCCTGTGGTAGGGTTAGCACCAATAACAAATAGTATGATGCCATTCCTTTCAGGTTCTGTTTGGAGTGTTTTCTATGAATTGTGGGTGTGTAGAAAAGCAGATGTATTCATTTTGCATGAGGAATGATGTGTGAGGGCAGATAAAGAGGAGAGAGGAGAGACAGACACATAAACACACACACACACAGAGAGAGAGAGAGAGAGAGAGAGAGAGAGAGAGAGAGAGAGAGAGAGAGAGAGAGAGAGAGAGNGAGAGAGAGAGAGAGAGAGAGAGAGAGAGAGAGAGAGAAGAGAGAGAGAGAGAGAGAGAGAGAGAGAGAGAGAGAGAGAGAGATTATTTACTAAGTTTATATGTCTGGGTTTTATCACTGAAATAAAACAATGAATGGTTCCTTCCTAGTTAACACTAGAAACTAAAACAGAAGTGAATGACGTCTGTCAGTAAAAGATGAAACAGGAGCTCCTTTGTGTAGCCTTCTTACTGCCCTGAAGTCCAGCGAGCTTTTATACTGATTATGATTTTGAGGCATATTTCCTGTACGACCTAATTCTGACAACTAACCTTCGTTAGCGTGTCCTTAAGATGGCCCATTTCTCAGGTGGGAAGACTGAAACCCTAAGAGTAACAAGCACAGGCCTCATACATGGAAGGCAAGGTCCCTGTTTCATCACCTTGCCTATTATGATGTCTGTGTTTAACATCATGACTCCTTAGCAGAGTACAGTTTCCATCGTGAAATCTGATACACTTAATGGCCATGTTCTATGTGCACCTGCAGCATTAGCTTGCTTTGGTTTAATTTCATTTTTAACATGTGTCAAGAAGATAGTGTATGTCAGATACTATTGGAAATGTTTCCCATTTACTGAAGTTAATCTTCTTTTAGGAGATTGGTATTGTTTTGCTTATTGGCAGACAGAGATTGTGAGGCCACGAGAAAGCAGCTGGCCAACCCAAGTCCAAGTCCAAGTGAAAATGCTGCCGTTCAACTCCAGCCAACTTTCATGTCTCTGACCTTTCTCTGCAACTTGACACATTGATCTTAGGCCCAGGGTGCTACCCTACATGGTGAATCCTGGCTTTACCTAAAGAGACATAATCCAAGTCAGAAGCGAAGGTGCTCAGTGTATAAGACCTCAGAAGCATCTTACTGCTATGTGGGATATAGGAAGCCATCATCCATATTTATACATTTCATTAATATTAATCGAATCCATTTTCTCTTCCCTTTCTTGGGGCCTTAGCCATCTTTTTTTTTTTAAATAAAGTTACACCTTGGTTTTTCATCAAGTGTACTATATAATGTCTTATGATCTTCCCTCCTTTTGAGGGTGTAAGCCGTATTTGATGACTGTCTTTGTTTCTGACAAACAGTTCTTTAACTTTGCTCTAAGAAAGCAAAGCAGACAGGTTGATGGTCCAAATGTCAGGATCATCTACCTAACCAGGGAGAGCTGATTTCCAACTCTTGGTATCTGTACTGATATTAGTTACTTTCTGAGAAAATGTGAGTAAGAAGAATGTGTGATCAAGATCATTTTTTCACAACTTCTTTCTTGTACCCTATCCTCCTCAGAGGACAGAACACTGGAAGAGTCTTCCCTTGGGGAGACCGAGTGGCCTGGATGTCTCAGGAACAGAGAATAGCATGCCATTTCAACCCAAGCCAGAAAGGACTGAGTGGCTATCCTCAGAATCACTTAGATTTCGTGTCTGAGCAAAATTATTGGATTCAAGTTATTTCAGTCATTAGGTTATAAGACAGTTATTACTAGAAACCAAATATGAGTGAGAACATCCCATGTTCCTCTTTTTGGGTCTGGCTTACCTCACTCAGGATGGTGTTTTCTATTTCCATCCATTTGCCTGCAAACTTCAAGAAGTCCTTGTTTTTTACTGCTGAGTAGTACTCTAATATGTATATATTCCATACTTTCTTCATCCATTCTTCCATTGAAGGGCATCTAGGTTGTTTCCAGGTTCTGGCTATTACAAACAATGCTGCTATAAACATAGTAGAGCATATACTTTTGTTGTGTGATAAGGCCTCTCTTGGGTATATTCCCAAGAGTGGTATTGCTGGGTCCATGGGTAGGTTGATCCCAAATTTCCTGAGAAACCTCCACACTGCTAGCCATAAATAAAGGACACTGAACCTATAATTCGGGTTCTTAGAGAAGCTAAATAAGAAGGAGAACCCAAAGAAAATCATATAGGCATCCTCCTGAATATTAAACTTCATCAGGCGATGAAAAGAGACAGAGACAGAGACCCACATTGGAGCACCTGACTGAAATCTCAAGGTCCAAATCAGGAGCAGAAGGAGAGAGAGCACAAGCAAGGAACTCAGGACCGCGAGGGGTGCACCCATACACTGAGACAATGGGGATGTTCTATCAGGAACTCACCAAGGACAGCTGGCCTGGGTCTGAAAAAGCCAGGGTAAAAACAGGTCTAGCTGAACATAGCGGACAAGGAGGACTACTGAGACCTCAAGAACAATGGCAACGGGTTTTTGATTCTACTGGACATATTGGTTTCGTGGGAGCCAAGGCAGTTTAGTGGATGCTCACCTTACTAGACCTGGATGGAGGTGGGTGGTCCTTGGACTTCCCACCGGGCAGAGAACCCTGATTGCTTTTTGGGCTGACGAGGGAGGGGGACTTGACTGGGGGAGGGGGAGGGAATGGGGAGGTGGCGGTGGGGACGAGACAGAAATCTTCAATAAATAAATAAATAAATTAAAAAAGACAGTTATTACTAATGAGTGACCCAAATAGGCAAGACTTCAAGGTCATGGCTCACTGGGAAACCAGTCCCTAATTTCTGTGGACAGCTGCTCATTTGAGTAGGGGACATATTCCTCACTCAGGGAAAGAGAACCTCATGAAGGCACCAGAGGGGTGCTTTTCTGCTTACTGCTGCAGACCATAACATGTACTATACCTTATCTTCGTGGAGTGATTGGATAGAAAGAAAGGAAGAAAGGAAGAAAAACTTAAATGTGTATTCTTTAACCTACCAAAATTATGCCCAAACAGTAGAAAGATCAAGGACCTTTTTCTTCATGGTTCCATGTGAACTGTGAGGAGGTGAAGAATTTTGTACATACTACAGTTTCCCAGCAGAATCTTTGAGATGGGTCTCTCACAGCGACGGGTCTCTCACAGAGATGCGTCTCTCACATCAATGGGTGTCTCACAGCGACGGGTCTCTCACAGAGATGCGTCTCTCACATCAATGGGTCTCTCACAGCGACGGGTCTCTCACAGAGATGCGTCTCTCACATCAATGGGTCTCTCACAGCGACGGGTCTCTCACAGAGGTGCGCCTCTCACAGCGATGGGTCTCTCACAGTGACGGGTCTCTCACAGTAATGGGTCTCTGACGAGTCTCTCACAGCGATGAGTTTCTCACAGCGATGTTTCTCTCACAGTGAGTGGCAGTGGTGCTCAGGGAGGGAAACTGCAGTGGACTTCAGAGGGCCCCTACCTCTGCCCATCCTCCACAAGTACCTCTGTCCAGTACTGTACTTAGAGGTTCCCTCTCCTGACCACTGTCCCCTGCCTCTAAATCCCTCCCAGGGCCCTGTTGCTTTGACACAAATGGGAGCAATCCTCCTGAAATTATTAAACAAAACATGCCTATAGTTCAAAAAACGTGGGATATGAACTTTTAAAAGAAAGAATGAATAACGAGACTCTCTAAATGGAAGCGCATGGCACACTGCGATGGAAGCCATATCGCCCCATCCCAATGGCACAAAAGAGCTGGGGGGTCCCGAGGTCTCATTTCCAAGCCGTGGGCCCCTCCCGGTTTCTCAAAAAACTAACACATTAATGATGCATTCACAAACAAACTTCTTTGTAGCTAGTGCTGACAGGCAGGGAGAGGGTGGGGGTGGGGCCTGCGAGAAGGGGAGCCAGGCCAGGGGACTGCTCTGAGGCACCAGCTTGGGTTCCCGGGCCCGGTGATGGAATTATTGTTTATTTTTTTAATTTTCCAAGGTAGGCCGATGACAGCTGAAGAAGACTGTATTTGCCGAGGAGCAGCATGAGGGTAGAGAGGAGCGGAGCTCCTGAGGGAAACCTAATAGTTCCTCTCCTTCCTGCACGTAGATAAAGACTTATAATCAGCGTGTATGTTCACCATCTGGCTCGGCGCATGTGGTCCGTATGGAGGAGAAAGCCGCACAATCTGTAAGTGATCAGGAGCCATGGCGCTCTCTCCAGAGACTCCACGATGCAATCAAGGTGACAGATGGCACGGCCACTGCTGTGGCCTCATGGAGAAGATCAAAATCACCTTCAATAAACTCTGACTGAAATGGGCACGAGCACCTCGGAAAAGTCAGTTTGTCAGTCAAACTGCGACAGCGCGCTGCACTGGGGAACCGCCACGGCCAGCTCTCTGTTTTCAATCGTTTCCGTCTGACTGGCCCTGAACTATGATCCTTCTCAAATTGTCCTTTCTGTTTAGCCGAAGCAGGCCAGCAAATTGCCAGATTCATTGCTTTATTGAAGAAAATTGAAAACACGATGTCCTCAATTCCGAGGACGCACAGCTGGCAGGTGCCAGGGACACCCAAACGCAGAGACTGGACCTGGTGTGTCTGCAGCCTGAGTCTGCACAACTTTAGGCAGATTTTTTTTTTCTGAACACAAGTCTAAAATGCAAATGCGTGCCTGCAAGTGATTACATAAAGGGTATTAAGTAACCAGGAAGTGTTGGCGGAAGAGATAAATGCTTACAAAGAAAAAAAGGCAGAAAGGAAAGGCGGCAGAGAGGGAGAAAGGAAGCTTCAGTTGTTGTCTGTGCATTTTCCTAGCAGGCTTCTTTCTTGACAGAACCAGTGTGTTCTCTTTCTGTGCATGTTTATTATCTGGGTCCCTGTGGTCGGGCAACAAGGTTGGTGAAATACATCCCATTTTTTTTTTTTTCAGAGCAAATCGCAGGGCGTTTACAGGGGTCAGCAAGTTTAGACAAATCTCCGTTTCTCCCACCTCCAGAGTGAAAACATTTCAGAAGCTCCAAACGCTTAGAAATAGAGGGAAATGAGGAACAGCTAGCTACCTGCAGTGGGACTCAAATCCGCTCTTAAGCCTTGAGAGGCAAGGATGTTGGTGTCGGGTCAGGGAGGGCGGGTCCTGATGGCAGCAAGCGCCCCTCTTCCTCCCTCCCGCACCCTTGGCACAGTTCCACTGTTGTTCTTTCTCCCAAGCGCCAGAACTGGGGACTGGAAGCCAAACTCCACTTTCCAGTCATCTTTCCTCCAAGTTCCCATCATGTCCTTCTGGTCCTGGAGTTTTCTATTGTAAGCCCATTGAGGGAACTTACCAGTTCTAACTTTCCATCTACTCTCTTTAAAAAATTGTAACCTAGTTAATGTTACCTCCCTGCGGCCATTCAAGATCCCAACCCTACCCATGCTCAGTCCTTATCCTTGATGTTTGTAAACTCCTTGACAGTTGAGACGCACTGTCTTGCTGGGACCTGGATGCTTGTGGAAGTCTCCACTCTTCTAGTAGGTACAATTGAATGCTCAGATTCTGGTGCAGTGATAGAGAAATGGAGTTAAAGGGGGCTCGTCACTAATAAGAAACCAGGGAGAAAGAGCTCCTGCTCAGAGCGACAGGAATGGGTAGCTTTTGGGAAGGACTGTCCTCACAGGGTGTGCCATGGTGCTCACTGAACGTATGGCAAGTGAAGTGTGGTCTGTTAGGAACAGAAGACCCTCTGTATTTTCTTATTTTGGGGGGAGGTAATACCCACTGAGTTCTGAGTACCCACTATAGGCAGGTTTTGCAGAGTTGAGCAGTTCCCAGGGAGAAAATGTAGGTTTAAACGTCACTGTTTAGGTCACTGCGCTCTCCCGACCTTTCTCCCCGCATCTGGCTCCCTGAGCAGTGGGTGGTGTTCTCCTGTGGCAACAGGGTCAGTGTTCAGAGGGTGGCAGCCTGCGTCTTTCACACAGGAGATGCCCTTGGCTTCCTGGAAGAGCAGAGTCTGTAACAGACATTTCGAGGCAAGTTCATCAGTGCTGCCACCAGGAGGGGTGGTAGGATGAGCCATGTCTCAGCAGCAGCTCTGTGGTCAGGCTCTGGTTGCCCAGGGAGTAAGGCTTCCTAAAAGCTGCAGTTCCAAGTATTTCCTTAAAGAGACGGCTTGCTGGACCATGAAGGTGTGGAGGCATACGTCTAACATGCGGTTTAGTAATTAGAGCTTGGCCCCAATGCAGATAATCATGTTCCAGTTCTCTATCATATGGAATGTCACCTGATCTATGCCAGTTACACGGTCATACACCATCACTGCCCTTTAACTCTAGTTTCCAAATTAAAAATTTGCTTAGAGGATTTTCCTTGAGACAGGTTAAAAACTCGTGCCTGTCGAAAATAAAAAACACCAATGATAGCCTTCGCTGGAGAGGTTGTGAAGAAAGGGGTACACTCATCCATTGCTGGTGGGAATGCAAACTTGTGCAACCACTTTAGAAAGCAGTGTGGAGGTTTCTCAGGAAATTCGGGATCAACCTACTCCTGGACCCAGCAATACCACTCTTGGGAATATACCCAAAAGAGGCCCTATCATACAACAAAAGTATATGCTCAACTATGTTCATAGCAACATTGTTTGTAATAGCCAGAACCTGGAAACAACCTAGATGCCCTTCAATGGAAGAATGGATGAAGAAAGTATGGAATATATACATATTAGAGTACTACTCAGCAGTAAAAA